GCATTCGATATTGATTCATTTTAAGGAAATTATATTTATGAATATTTAACTTCTAAAATTATTCTTGCAAATTTACTGCTCAGGTCACTTAAATGTCAAGGCCATCTATGGCCGACAAGTGAGTATGATTGCCGATGGTTTTGGAGAAAATGTCTGTTTACTGTCGAGGAAATGATTTGTAGATGTTGCAATAAGATTTTGGACCCGTGGAATGCCGCTGCCGATCGAATCTAGCCCTACATAGGTGCTGTCAACGTGACTGGAATTAATAAACGAATTTAACAGGTGAGTTTTCGCTGTCTTGGGTGATCCATGATTTTGGCTTGGAATTGCGGAGGTAGCTGTTTTCGGTGAGTCGTGGCGTATAACTTTTGAAATAATGATCCGATTGTGACAATTTATAGCTCATTTGTAGGGAAATCATCTCGCTTTCGATCCGTAGGCCTCGACGGGGCCTTAAAAATAGTTTACGTGGTGAAATCTAACTTTGATTGAGGAGGGGGTGGTTCCGTCGTTACATCCCTTTCCTTTTATATAGTACTAGGGTAGGGTCTATATACCTATATGTCTTTCTAACGCTGTTTCGAAGCGTGACACGCCCCTGTGGAATCAAGGGAATGGTAACTGAAACATTTAATATTTAACATTCCTTGACATTACTGAAAAATACACCTTAACACACCAATATCAACAAGAGCGATGCATTTCAGTTTGTTCAAAATGTTATCCAACTGTTCTGGGCGTCAGAGATACACTTTGGAAATGGCAGTGAGCACAAACACATGATAAAGGATGGGAGTGATGGGAACTCCACCAATGCTAATATGTCATTGATAATCATATCCCACACCGCTTTCTGCAGCCATTCTCTTCATGGAAGAACTACAGGCAATGTATGCATGTGCAAAGGCACCACTCTTATTAAAGGACCTGTTTATTAGGTTGATCTCAAAATCTGATACTGTCTTATTTATGGTGTGACTTGGTAACCATTGATGGAAGTGTAGGAAATGTCACTGATGACTGAAAGACATCATGTAGACAGTGGAAGAAGATGATGACTGAGGTACCAACAACAAACTCTTTGCCAAATATATATACTAATATTTCAGTTCATCTGGGCTCATAGCACAGATCTATTATTCTCATCACCATAGAGGGTTGTGCCAGGATGTAGATCTGACTGAAAACAAGGCCAGATTTTTTCCATTTTTAATTTTTTTGGGGGCCTATTTGTATAAAATCTGGTCAGTTGCAACACAACCTTCTGTGTGTGCACAGTAGGGAGTGTTGGGTTGTCTGTAGACTAATGCTTAGTCTCTGAATATATATAATTTTGATAGTAACAAACAAGCCCATTTAAATTGAAAAGGAGCCCCAGGGAGACCAGAGATTCAGAACCTGAGGAAATCTAGACTTGCTTTATTTAGGGCTTCAGCACTGCAGAGAGGGCTTGGCAGTGGGGAAAATAATGTGGTTCAGGGACTGTGAGACAGACTAGGTTCTCTGCTGCATTTGATGGAACAAAACGATTCAGACTGAACTTGTTTCCACTATTTTAGGGTGAGTGGAATCTGCAAACCAAGATACCATTTAATTTTCTATGTCACTACAGTTGACTGAGATTTCAAAACTAGACTTTGATCATACTTTCAGACATTCATGTTGATGTTAGGTACTGATAATGCATAAACTAAACAGATTTTACAACATTACATCTGTCAAATTAGCCCATACCCGGATTTGACATACAGGACCTCAATTCTGAAGAGAGTGGGTTTGGCGTAATATCGCATAAAACAGCATTTCAACTGTGTAACTGTGTATTAGCTTCATGTTGGATGAAAGCTCCAAGTGATACTGGTCTTTGACATTTATGATTTCCTTGTTATCATAAGTATAGATATGATACTGAAGAACCTACTAACAAAATCAGGGATATATACACCATGAGAGTAAAGATTAGTCCAATCTAGCAATATTTGATATTTCATCATAATCCAAATATCTGAAACAGTTGCAAATAATTTATAGAAGAGTAAACTGCTACTATGAAATGGAGTTTTTATGAGTGCGGCTATCCGCCATACCTACTCCCTACTGCCTAGTGGTTAAAACGTTTGCTCGTCACAACTAAGATTTCCGGGTTTGATTTCTACATGGGTACAATGTGTGAAGCCCATTCCTGGGGTTCCTTGCTGTGATACTGTTGGAATATTGCAGTGTGAAACTAAACTCACTCACTCACTCACGCCTGTCTACTGCTCCACTGATTCCTGTTTCTCAAACACAGAAAACTACAGCCACCTTACCACAGGGCATACTGCTTCAGCCTATAATACCAGCCACATTTTCCCCATTGGTAAAGTTTGCTGAGAAACAAGATCATTGCATGTTTGTTATTAATTACCTCCCAAGCATTTCACATTTAACCTCTCTACATTATCTCCCTCTATCACAGCTGCTGTTTTCAACACATCGAAGAAACATGCTAGAAGACATTTAGGAAAAGCCTTGGGGTAGAGCTAGTGCATGGAATCAACATACCGTATTTGCCACAATAAGCATCCCAGTGTCAAGGGTTTTCGCCGATGTAAGACAAAAACGCAATTTTTATATTTAATGTCATTTAAAGTTTTTATTTTATTAACCTTGAGTGATAAAGGATATATTCATCTATTTCACGCAAAAATATCAAGTGTTCCCTACAAAAATAGTGTTGATGGCATCATATTGGCGAAACTGTTGTCGCTCACCACATCTGGGGATTTTGTATGGGTTTTTGACGATGAGCCATACTTTTTGACGGAGTGTTTTGATCACGTGTCTTCCTATTTATATATTACCTGTAACCAGCAGACGACTGATCTTACTGAATTTTCGCTTGCTATTTTTTGTTATAAGGGCAACTGATTTTGCATCTGAAGTGGTACTGACGATCTCGGGTAAATAATATTGATGTAACACATGTCATATTTGGGATTACACTTTCTTAGTAAAGTACAGATTCTAGTCCTTTGTTGGGTTGAGTCCCATCTGGGATTCGAACCCACACCCTCAGAGTCAGGCACCTAATCACCAGCACACAAAGTCAGATGCCTAGACCGCTCAGCCACCGCGGCTTCCACAAAAATGGAAGTCGGACAACTGGTAGTCTAGACTGCGGACCTTGTGTACCCCTCTGATAACTGTTATTTGGCACGGCTCCCAAGGCCGAAAGCTATGAAATATACAATGCCATTTAGAAAGTGGTCAAATGTAACATATGTCATATTTGGGATTACACTTTCTTAGTAAAGTACAGATTCTAGTACTTTTGTTGGGTTGAGTCCCATCCGGGATACGAACCCACACCCCCAGAGTCAGGCACCTAATCGCCAGCACACAAAGTTAGACGCCTAGACCGCTCAGTCTAGACTACCAGTTGTCCGACTTCCATTTTTGTGGAGTCGCGGTGGCTGAGCGGTCTAGGTGTCTGACTTTGTGTATAGTAACAAATAGCAATCCTTATAGTAACAAAAAGCAGTCCTTATGGTAACAAAAAGTAGTCCATATATAGTAACAAATAGCAGTCCTTATGGTAGCAAAAGGTAGTCCTTACAGTAACAAATAGCACTCCTTATAGTCACAACAGAAACTGTTTGAGCCAAGTTTGAACTTGCTCTTTCACAACTAGCTTGAAGGGGTGCATGTGGTGTTCATAAGGCCTGCTCGGTATCTCTTACACTGCATATAGACAAAGCTCTCCGTGTTTATCAAGTCGCCTCCTGAATGAGTATGTTTCCATGCACTGTTTGTTTTTGTTGGCTTCCAGTTATTAAATGAAAATGGATTCAAAACAATGTTGATCTGATATTTCTATCATACAAGATGGAAATAAATAAACACTGCATGAGTGCATGTTTGATAAAAGATGATTTGTCTCAGCAAAAATGCATTATCACTTTTAAACTTTATCTTCATGTTTATACTGATGAAGACATAACAACATATCTGTGTGGTTAAGGACACTTGTTAAATCAAATAATTCACACTTTGATAGGCTGTATAAATGTCATATTTTTCAAAATACCATCAAACTGTACCTGCAACTCTTAATCTTCATACGGTTGTGATGGTTAACAAATATACAACTACAGTCTGTGTGATAACAGATGTCCATTCATTACAACTACTTTCTGGGTATGTAATATTCACACACAAATGACGGTTGATAAATATACAACAGCAGTCTGTGTGATAACAGATGTCCATTCATTGCAACTACTTTCTGTGTATGTAATATTCACACACAAATGATGGTTAACAAATATACAACAGCAGTCTGTGTGATAACAGATGTCCATTCATTGCAACTACTTTCTGTGTATGTAATATTCACACACAAATGACAGTTAACAAATATACAACAGCAGTCTGTGTGATAACAGATGTCCATTCATTGCAACTACTTTCTGTGTATGTAACATTCACACAGTTAACAAAAAATGACAGTTAACAAATATACAACTGCAGTCTGTGTGATAACAGATGTCCATTCATTGCAACTACTTTCTGTGTATGTAATATTCACACACAAATGACAGTTAACAAATATACAACTGCAGTCTGTGTGATAACAGATGTCCATTCGTTGCAACTACTTTCTGTGCATGTAACATTCACACACAAATAATGGTTAACAAATATACAACAGCAGTCTGTGTGATAACAGATGTCCATTCATTGCAACTACTTTCTGTGTATGTAACATTCACACACAAATGATGGTTAACAATTATAGAGCAGTCCGCATGATGACAGATATACATTCATTGCACTGACTTTCTGTGTATGTTGCAAACCATGTTATAAACCCGAGCAAGTGATTACTGTTTCAGAGCATCATTCCAGATAACTAAGGTAAAAAATCTTCTCTGTTGAACACCTGTTAAACGTTTATTTATTCTGTTTTGAGTCAGAGATATCCAGGTTCCTGTTCGGATAAGTGGCCAACCTACCTGAGGGCAGACTAGAGGAGGACATAGGCGAGGGTAGCATGTTGTCTGTCCGTCCTGACACACACATTTGGTACAAGCAAGGGGAGACCACTCTGAGCCATCAGGGTAGTGAGTGCCAGTAGATCCAACACATGATCCTGCAAGGTAAAAAGCTGAATTCAAGCATACATCACAATATTCGGTGATGTGTTTTTGTTAAAGCATTGCATAAGAGTTATTGATATGTGATGAACGAGATGAAATATGAGAACATTATGTCAGCAGGTCATTCACCTCCAAAACTTAATAATAACAGACATGCTACCTTGACACTGAAGAATGCTTGATTCTGACTGGTAAAAAAGATTACAAATTTCTGATTGTTTCCTCTGTTCACACACAAAAAAACTTTGCCTGTTAACACAAAAATGGTGCATATGAATACATCAATAGCCGACAAATCAATCTACGAAAAGTGGCTACCAATCTCCCATCTTTCGATGGGATCCATTCATTCGGATCCATCACACTTTTTAAATGTATGTTATGAACTTCTGCCTTCTGGACGCCATTTCAAAATCATGTATTACAAAACTAATAGAACTTCAAAGTCATTTGTCCCATACAGTGTAAAACTTCTAAATCTTCCTCCAAAATTGGAATAGTGAAATCAATGATGTGGCACAAGTGATTATTATATTATGTACTTTGATTATGATTCCCCATTATATTGTGATTAGCTTGACATTGTGTGTATATGTACTTTAAATTATTATAATGGTAACGCTATTTTTCAGGGCATTATCATTTGCAGAAGCCTGGGGTCTTTCATTAACTGCCCGACTAAGGAGGGCAGTTGAAAAGACCTCAGGCTTCTGCACATGACAATGCCCTGAAAAATAGCGTTACCATTATTATAGCTAAAATGGATAGAATTTCTAACAAGCATTGTCACTAAGGTGACATAATCCCCTGCTGTCACCTAACAACAGGCTTGATAATGGCCCATCGTCAAGCATTTTGAGGGCATTATCAAGTTACAGTAGCCCGCTCATTTCTGATAACATATGGGTGTTTTAATGATAATTCTATCCATTTTAGCTATAATTGTTGTTATATGCTTTGTATTGGCTCTTTGAATGCAAGACAAATTTCCCTTGTGGGACAATAAAGTTTATCTTATATTACAGATGTTTTTGGCGACAATGCTTTTGACATCCATCAGCTAAACTCATGAGCTTTGATGATGGCAATAAAAAGATGACAACAATTATGAAGGTATCTTGTTTTTCAAGGAGCAAAGTTCCAAATTAAAAATAGGAAGACCTCAGTTCAATAGTTTAACAATCTATACTTTTGAAACATATAATGTGTATTTCCTACATGAACAATTCTGACCAACCACAAATTTTCTCATCAGCCATTGTAACAGACAGATCTAAATAGATACGTGGGTGCTGATACAAACATAACTCTAACACTACCATAATGGCAATACCTGGCAAATGCAACAACCAAACTCTTCAGTCTTCAATATTTATTACACCATATCTAATCCTCAGATAAAGAGAATTAGTAATAGATCTCAACCAATTTACCTACATACAACATGCCACTATCAGGCAATTACCACCCAATCAAGATAAAGATGAAATTTCTTCCAGCCAATAGTGCCTTGATTCATATCAGCCTATACATACACCAACTGGACTAACATCGGCTCTACAGTAAACTGCTACTGGGTTGGGTTTCCTTGAAGTAGTGAGTTGGCTGGGTTGGGGAGATGAAAGGACCGTTATCAGCTTCAAGTACCTGTATGTCTAGTGACCACTCACGCCACTTGTACTCATACAATACCTCTTGTGAGGCCTGTGATAGGCCAAGTGTTAGGAGAGTGGGACAACCGGTTCCATCTAACATGCATAGTGGAGGATATATTCTGTTATACCCTTCACTGAGAGACGGTATATCTCTGTTTACGTTGTCAGTTGTAGCTCACTGAAACCTGTTTGATTACATCTTTAAGGAGCATTCTGGAAGTTGTATTATCACTGAAGACAGGGTATAACTTCTGATATCATCTGTGTATTTTTAATGCAATGTTTTGGTACAGGTGCTAAGACTTTTTATGCAATCACTGTCTTCACTGTTTGTCCTCTGAATCTTGGCATCAGTGTTTGTAGGCATACAGGCAAGTCAAGTAAACAGGCAAGTGTTATTTTAAGTGACAGGAATAATGTTCTGAGTCAACTTCAAGTGCTGGCACGAAATGGTTGATCAATACCCTATTTTATGGATAGGTTTGATAAAATCAATACTGATGATGACACCTGCAGTAAGTACTGACTGCCAGCAGGTACAGGTAGCACAGTTGTTCAGGCACCACAAACTGCTCTGTGTGTTTAATATTAGGCATGCAAGAAACCCACAGTGCTTTGTTCAAATCCCAGATTTGCCGTGATAAGGTCTCTTGGTTTGGCAGCAACATTCACACATGCTAGTGGGTTTCACTATAGTGGTAAAGAATACCTGCATCATGTTCAACTTTTATCACACATCAAACTGAAATGCCATGAGATAACTGAAATATTGTGATATAACTGAAATATTGTTCAAAGTGATCATACACCAAAATTCACAGACTCCTAGTAAATACTAATCTTGTATTAATAAAAAATCCATATTGTGAGAAGCTACATGTGTGGGTATCCATATTCCCCAAAATAATGATTAAACAATACCCTATGAATGTATAAATGTATTATTGAATGTTTCTGGAATGCTTCAATGGACCACACTAGCAATAAGCATAGACCTGTAGACCTACACACAGTCCTTGTACACTGGTTCTCCAATGAAACCTATGTAAAGCCATAAAGTGATTCACAGGCGTTTAACACTGGCCAGGTGCTATGTTCAAGTTATGAACCACTTATCTCCTTCAGACATGAAACATTTCCCTCCCTAAATTACTGAAGATGTACTCCATGCAAACTGTTTTTCATAGACCTCAGTATCTGGGGCCAACAAAGAGTGATGGTGCTGTCCAACCTGTACATTAACATCATCTCAGACTCCATCACTTACGGTCAAGTGATCATGAAGGTTATACACACCTGCTTACAGGGTCATTCAAGTATGTAGCAATGGCATGCGAGACCAGTATTATTTAATCTTGGTCAAATCTTGGGCATAAATATGTCAGCACTCAAGTCTTGGCCTTCACTTTTACAGTGATTTGGGATTTTAATGACCAGTGTGGTGCGTGTTGGATAAGTAGTGTGTATGTTCAGCTATTATGCACAAGAGTGAGTGAGTGAATGAGTGAGTTAATATTTAACTTCATATCAACAATATTATGCACAAGAACCAGGTTCAATTCCAAACCACACAGGTTTAATCTACTTTTAAAGGTATTTGGAGGATAAGGTTTTAGTTAAATGGGTTTGAAGTCTGTATTGCACATCAATATATTTCCAAAGAAATGACCAATGTCAAAACCATGAAAGGTCCAATATCGCAGTGGTTCACAGGTAGCAAAGTTTCAAATGTTACTTTGTGCATTTTGCACAGTTTTGCACCGAAAACAATGCCTACCAGGCAGAAAGACAGACAGACAACCTATTTCAATATTAAACTAGCTTATTGAATGAGGTATTAAGAAGAGACCTGGAGATAAGTGAGGATTTTTCTTTCACTGTTTTGAACTCATGCTTGTCCATTCATTTCCTAACACGTACATACATCTTCAACCACACAAAGTCTTAATGTGGTGTAAGAAGATACTCTCATAGCCCATTGTTCATGTTTACAGACTCAGTAGAACACTTTTATCAGCCTGTTCTGTATTTCATTAATCAACATGGGTGTGTTTTAGAGGTGTGTTAGCCTGCTCAGTGTTGGCTGTAACAACTGCCGACTGCCTCATAACATGAGAGCATGTGAGCTTTAATTACTGGCCCATAGGGCACAGACACATGGGTCACACCCCTGAAAGTTGATCAACATGTCCAAACACCATGTTCACTTGCAACCTGCTTTGTCTGAACCCTCCATGTTGTAATCGTAAATAAGATATAACTTTCAAACACAGAGATCAAATTTAGATGCCCCATCCTATTTTATGTTCCTAACAAACTGTTAAAGACTGTTCTTCATTCCATCATGAACATCATTTGTTCTTATCGAAAATGAAATAATCATTTCAAGACCATAATTTCACATTTCATTTATGCATTCAAGATATATATCCCGGTATTAGGGGTTTTCGACGGTGTAAGACAAAAACGTAATTTTTATCTGTAATGTCATTTGAAGTTTTAATTTTACTAACCTTGGGTGATAAAGGATATATTCATCTATTTCAAACAAAAATATCAAGTGTTTCCTACAAAAATAAGGTTGATGACATCGTATCGGCGAAACTGTTCGCCACATCTGGGTATTTTGTAGGGTTTTTTGACGATGAGCCATACTTTTGCTCCGCAATGCGAGGGAGTGTTGTGATAACGTGGCTTTCTATCTATTGCTTGTGACGAGCAGACGACTGATCTTACTGAATTTTTGCTTGCTATTTTTTGTTATAAAGGCAATTGATTTTGCATCTGAAGTGGTATTAACAATCTTGGGTAAATAATATTGATGTTTGTTTGCTTTTTAAACAACTTAACTTCCAGTTTTCAATTGTCAATAAAACTTATCACGACAGTGACTGGGCATCCGCCCTGCTGATGAAATTGCTTGTGCTCTCCGATCGCCAAGTACTCCCCCGATATAGCGTGAGCAATGCAATCGTCGAAATCACCAGAACGTCGAATTCAGCTCGCTTTGGGATATTTCAAGTAAATATTATTTCATGATCTTTTATATTATTCTTCAAATTGTTCCCAACAGAACATTGCGTGAATTATTGCTTAAAGCAGTTAAAATCTATACACACTCGCTCTACAAGTCAATGACAAGTATGCATCTATATAATCTTTAATTATATATTCATAATTGAGTATTATCAGAGGTATTTAATACATTGCTTCAATTTCAATAAGAATGACAGTAATACAACTTATGAACAAAACAGTGAAAATGGTGCATTGTTTTGGTTTTCAGGTAAAAAAAAACACTTAAAAAGTTAAGTAGAATGAGTGAGTGAGTGTGGGAA